CTCTTCTAGAAGGGAATCAATAGCTTATGAGATTTCAGGTTTAATTGAAGCAAGTGTTCTGGTACTAAGTTCTGTGCCATACCTTTGTTTATCTTTGGAAGGCCTTTATGTATTAGAGAGAGCCACATAAGGACCACCATATTTTCCAGGTAGGGGGAAAGCTCCTCGTCTTCTTCAACTACCTGGTTATGATGGGAAATACCGCCACCTTGCTTTAACAAATTATCGTGAATAAATGCAAGAAGACGCTGATATAGGTCCTCAGGCCGTTCATTATTTTCTAGGTGGATGTCCACAAAATCAATAAAATGTCCACCGGTGGACCGAAACCCATAATGTAACCTGATGGTTTGCCATATTTGAGACAAGGAAGTGGAACTTTTAACAATTGTGTTGCGAGAAATCACAGAACAATAATTTGCAATTTGCCCCAGCATAAGCTCCAGGATAGTGACCTTTTGGTGGGCCGTACGACGCCGCTGTTCGGGGACGTCAGCACCGTCGTCGGTGAAACCCCTGAGTGGGGCAGCTTTCGTTTTGGGGCTCCAGGACGAGCCATCTAACAGGAATTGGCCAAAGTTAGCATCTAGTGTTAAGGTATAAACTAAATTCTGCTTCCAATTTTCAAATGTGTTAATAGTCTCCGTCTTTGTAAGACTCAATTGCTTTGGTTCTCGCATAGCAGCCATAGTTGCCACACAATAACAGGCCTAGGCAGCTAGTGTTTTCACTTAAAAGGGAATCAAGAACCGACGGACGCACGGTGGAGCGATAGTCAATGTACAGTGATTGACGAAAAGGCCTAGCTCAACAATGGGCATAGGAACTCACCAGTACCGTGGATGGGAACGTTTCTTGAAGCTGCCACCACGCCAGTGGGCAAAAGAAACAACCACAGTACAAAGACTACAATCGGACACACTACCAGTAGTGTACAAAGCTTTATTACAGCCAACAAAACAACAGTCCGATCAATCCAAGATGGAGTATCGAGAGGCCGCCCATAGAGGGCGCCTAATCAAATCACAGTGTGTTAACACTGGCGAAGTTATAAAAGTGATTAATTATAGAAGGCGCTAAATCGTTTACACCTTTCCTTTTTTGCAGTAAATGAAATAATCATTCTAAAGGCATAAACAGGTTATAATTTATAATCCGGCAACAACAGTATTAAGTTCATACAGTATATCAAGTTATAAATGTGGTTAGAAAAATCATTAATACGGTAGCAATATTTTTTTGCAATTTAAATGTAACACTTTGAAAATGTTTAACCATTAAAAGTTAAAAAGTCCAAACAAATGTTCTGAGTCCTTATTCTTATTGGGTTATTGTCTGAAATGTTCATTTTTGTTAATTATGTTACATATTGTTGCAAGTATTTTGGCCATGTGCGAATTCTGTTGCTTCAGGCTGGTTGTTTCTGTCGCGTTTTGTGCTTGTGACAGATTCGTTTGACTTGTGTCGCTCTGAGCATTATTGTGCGAGGTATCTGTGTTTTCATGTGCTATTGTAGGCGCGCTATTTTGAGTAGTGATTTACTCTTGTGAAGATGTTGACATTTCTTGTGTTTCGAAATTCTCAGCAGTTTTCCTGATGTGCTTCCTATTTCGACGGTAACATCTCCCGTCCTCTGTCATGATTTGGTACGAACGAATACCAGATGGTTTTTTCACTTGGGCTTTTTGCCAAACTTTACTATCTCGTGCTTGCTTAAAGCGTATCGTTTTACCATTGTGAAGAGGAGACAGATTAGCGGCACCTCTGTTGTAGTACTTTGCTTGTTTTTGTAGATTTTTTCCCTTTGTTGACGCTCACATCCTGTATGATCTGCGGCTGTAGTAGATCGTTTGTAATTGGTATGTTAGTCTTTGTTCTTCTACCAAACAAACGTTGTGCTGGTGAACTGTTAAGACCTTCTGTGGGCGTGTTTCGCCAAATGAGTAGGTTTAAGTAGAAATCTCCATGATCTTTCTTGGTCTTCTTCATTAAACGCTTAGCGAGCTTTACAACATTTTTCACTTTACTATAATTGCTCTGTGGATATTCTGGTGAGCTTGTCGTTATGTCAAATTTGTAGCTCTTGGCGAAGTTCGCAAACTGTTGTGAGTTATACGGTGGTCCATTGTCCGATTGAACGATATCTGGGATTCCATGGTCGGAGAAATGTTTCTTAAGGTGTTTTATGATTGTAGATGCATCCTTTTTACCATGACGGTTGTCAATCTCGAAGTAGTCCGAGTAGTAGTCTACTGTGCATAAGTAGTCTTTCCCATTCAGTGTGAATATATCACATCCAATCTTACCCCACAGACGCTGATGAAAGTTGTGACTAATTAATGGTTCTTTCCGTTGACTCGATTGAAAAGTATTGCATGTTTCACACTTGGATATTAGTCTTTTATGTAACTGTTCAATCCAGGTCAGTAAACAGACTCTCTGGCCCGTCGAAGTGTGCTTTCTACACCTGTGTGTGCTGCATGGAGTCGCTGACGGATTTCAGGTCTCAGGTCTTTGGAAGTACACAGCGTTGACGTTTAAAAACGATACCGTCCTGCGTTGCGAGTTCGTCGCTGGACATTCGCGTGTTGAGTCTGGCCATCCTGTCGTGATTTGCTGAATGACTAATTGCAGTGTTAAGTCATTAGCGGTGGTTTCTTGTAATTCTCTGAGCCCATGTTTGGGTATTGAGAGAAAATCCACCATGTGAATGCTTTCAACTGCTGCAGTGGGTGACCTCTCCATATCGTTGATGTATGCACGCGAGAGTGTGTCTGCCAAGTACATTTCTTTACCTGGTTTGTACTTGATTTCAACATCATATTGATTAAGCCTAATGAGCAATCGTTGTAGACGTTTTGGTGCAGCTGATAGTGGTTTCAGTCGTATGGAAACTAAAGGCTTATGGTCTGTCCATAATGTTATCTTGTGTCCATAGACATACTGATGATTGCGTTCCATTCCGAACACTTGAGCAAGCAGTTCTTTCTCGATTTGAGAGTATCGAGTTTCCGCTGATGTGAGTGCACGACTCGCATACGTAATCGGTCGTCCCTCTTGCATGAGAACGAAACCTAACCATTTGCTTGAAGCGTCACCTTGGCCAGTGGCGTAGAAAAGTATTTTTCATTGGGGGGGGGGATGATTGGTGTGTTAGCCAGTGTCGTAACAGGCGAGGGGGGGGGGAACTGGCCCTCCCCTGACGGTTTTTACATGGGCCAATTTCCTCTAAAAATTGCACATTTTAGGGAGTTTTGATCAATTCTAATGAAATCAGAATTAAAAATACCGGGTGACAAGGGGGAATATCCATATTTGGAAAATCTTTCCCCACCCCTTGAGAAATGCATCCTCTGAAAGTGCCTAAAATTCTCAAATTCTTTGCGCGCATTTCTTGTTACGGTAGGCCAATTTCCTCTATAAATTGCAAATTTTAGGGAATTTTCATCAATTCTGACGAAATTAGAATTAAAAAACACAAAAAATATTTTGTAGGGCTTTTTTAGTTTTATCCTTTTAAGTTATTTAAACACATACCGGTAATAGTCCCAAACTCAAGAAAGACAAATTTAAGATAGATCGTTTTAACCGAAAAGAAGGGCCTCAATGTGTATTGATGGTGAAAGAATATGTTTGTAATAAATAAAACCATGATGAAAATGCTAATAATCTAGTTTTGTGCCTGCCCCGCTTTGAGGCTGTAAACCTTGTTTTTGCAAAATAAATTGATGCAATTTGCTATTATAGTCCTAATCAATAAATTCCTCATCAACCGATATAACCTTAAACATTTTTGGAATTGACATAACATTACTGATGTCGTACACACCCTTCAGTGTGAAATGTGGCTCTCTTTGCAAGCACATCTAACATCTAAGAAAAGAAGAGCTTAGATTGGTACCAGATAAAATAATTGTTATCAACATTAATACATTATGCTAATTTTCATCTTTGTAAGCGCATAAGACAGTGCAAATTATTTCTGTGACAGTCTTTTGAAGTGTGTAAATCTCCAGTTTATCCCATACATAGTCAAAATATTGGGGGGATGATACAATGGACCATCCTCCCTTGTCAAATCTTGGGGGGATATATCCCCCATCCCCCGGGATCTACGCCTATGACCTTGGCCCTCTACAGCAAGTTTAGGGTCAAAGTATTTTAGTACTGGAGATTGAGTAACGCTTTGCTTAATAGCTCTGAATGCTTAGGCTTGTTCGGTTTTCCAGTTCCAGTTAGCGTCTTTGTGAGTAAGACGTCGCAAAGGTTCGCTGATATCGGACAGATCTGGTTGGAATTTCGCGAGGTACTTTGTCATGCCAACAAATATTGAATACCTGCGACATCCTGTGGTTGTGGCATTTTGTTAATTGCAACCACTTTGCTTGGATCAACCAAGGTAATTCAACAAAAGGACGCACATCTCCGCTCGCGAACATAGCGCGTGCGTACAGTCCTTTGATCTTTACTGTGGCATCGACAATCCGATACTAGTTGCGCGTACAGCCGTCAATTATTAGTCTATGCGTGCCATTCGTTTTATGGTGTTAGTATTTATTTTATTAATTTTGGGTACTTCGCAATGTCTGTTACATTTGATTTTTTTTTACCGCGAGCTTGTTAAATGCTTCTATAAACTGCAAATTGATTTGTGGAAATTTACCAAGAAAATAAAAAGTTATAGCAATTCAAATTTTACGAATTTTATAAAATTTCATGTTCTTATGTAAACATGGCAACTAACACGCGCGTGGGTAAATCGTCACGTACGCTGACGGTTTATAATCTGGTTGCTATGGTTTTTGTGACGTTCAGCGTGTAGGGACGCACGTGCGCCTAGAATGTCGATGCCAGAGTTATAACCTTTGATGTCCCGAGATGTGCGTCCTTTTGTTGAATTACCTTGGATCAACTTTGAATCCGTCGCTAGATAGAACATGTCCCATATATATACGCTTGTATTCCAACTTGTCGTAGTTTAGTTTGATATCACGTTCTTTTCATCGTTGCATGAATTCGCTTAGATTCGCATCATGATCGCGATTCGCGTCATCGAGTGTGTCACCGCGTCCAGTGATCAAGATGTCATCGGCAATTATGAATACTCCATCGAAACCTTCTAAATTTTGGTCTAGTTTCTGTTGGAAAATCTCTGGGGCAGGACTGATGCCAAATGGCATTCTGTTGTAGCGATATCGGCCCCAATGCGTCTGGAAGTTCGTGAGGTAAGATGACTCTGTGTCTAGTTCGCACTGTAGGAATCCATCTTTGCAATCTGCTTTAGAAAAGACCTTCACGTTCGATATATGTGACAAAATGTCGTCGATCACAGGAAGCGGATAGTGTCCACGTTTCAAAGCAGTGTTTAAATGTTGGGGATCAATACATATCCTGTTTTTCCCATTCGATTTGTGGACAACGACTAATGACGATACCCAGTCTGTTGGTTCAATAACCTTTGTAATGATTTGACGTGTTTCCAAACGAGCGAGTTCATTCTTGAGCGTTTGTTTTATCGCTACTGGAACGCGTCGCGGCGGCATTGCCGTTGGTGTTGCAGTTTCGTTTGTTTCGAGGTGGACAGTTCCCGGCATGTGTCCAAGTCCATTAAACACTATGTTCTATGTTCATATGCTATGTTCTCGTGCTGAACCTTTTTCAGTTGAAGTTCTTGAGCACTACGCGATCCAATCAATGGTTCACTTTGGCCCTCGATTATCACAAAAGGCACAGTGTACTTTCTATTGTTCTTAGGATTTACAAGTGGCACTTTACAAACTCTTAGAACGGGAATAGTTGCATGGTTATCATGTGAGAGCGTCTTCTTTGACTCTTCTATCTTTAAGTCTTTAGATATATATTTACGTGGTAGAACGTTGCATGTTGTACCACAGTCTACTTGCATTTTAACTTGTTAATCAGGAAAGTTGCCATGATCTTCTTTGGAATTGATTTGACATCATTGTCCTCTATTTTATTAGGCCTAATTACATCTATTGTCATGACTTCAAAGTCAGACTCATCACTATATGTCTTCATATAAGGCATGAACTCTATGCTTACCCTTATGCTTTGGTCTATGTTGTGACTTCTGTCTCGACCCACTAATTCTGCATTTGTTAGCAAAGTGGTTCTGTTTGCCACAGCTTGAACAGGTTTTGCCATATGCAGGGTATTTAGTTTTAGTGAGTTCATGTGCTTTTCCACAATATCTACAGTTGTTTGTGAAATCTTTGCTCGAGTGATCCTTTTTCGTTGATCGTGACTTTTGATTAACAGCTTTGCCTTCCTCTGAGTCTGTGCATGTTACATTATGCGCAGTAGTGTTCGTAGCTTTTATGTGCTTTCGCAGCTTTACAAAGCGAAATACATTTGTCTAGAGTTAGACTTGCTTCCTGAAGTAGTCGTTTACGAAGTGCATTGTCTGATATTCCACATATAATGCGGTCACAAATGAAATCATCGCTTAAATTTCCAAAATTGCATGACGATGCTAGCTCTCTCATTTTGACTAATTATGTATCAAAACTATCATCTGCTTGTACGCAATTATTAAACTTGTATCTTTCATAAATTATGTTTGTTTTTCCTTTGCAATGTTCTTCCCAGAGTGTCAAAATAACTTCTAGTTTTTGTCTATCCTCATCGGATTTATATGGAAGGTTATTATGTATTTCAAGTGCATCTCTACCGATTGCAGTGATGAAGGTTGCAACTCGAAACTTGTCAGATTTATCATCAATATGTGTGACAATTTCATAGCTGTCCCACATCTGTTTAATTTTTTCCAATTAGTTCTTAAATCACCAGTCACCTTCAATAGTGGTGGAAGAGGTATGTGCGCTGGAGTGGTACTATTAGCAGTGGTCATGATAGCTCACTACAAATTATCAATGTCAACCAGTGTAAGCAGACAGTAATTTTGGCCGGTCAGTAATGTACACAATCAAGTTCGAATAATCCAAACAATTACTAACAAAATGTTTACTCAAAGGTATTTCTAGTGAATAACTTTTGAACCAGTTTAAAGAGTAGTATAGCGTGTGCTACATCCACTGTACTCTGCTAATTATAATTACTCTTAGAAATGTAACTGACCTGCTGTCGAGTTTACTGCTGCTTGAAGTTCGTATCCTAGATAAATACGCACCCTTGCTTGCTTGTCGTATTCCAGGCTACGTGCGTACGATGAATTTCCACAAAGATACTAGAAATACAAGATAGAGTTCTCGCATTGTAAAAATGAGGCGGAAGTCGTGCCCAACGTAGGCGGCGCCCTTCTTTTTAACCATGCAAGTTTCCTATACTTCGTGCCCAACGTACAGGGCGCCCTTCTGTTGCTAAGTATATCCAGACGCAAAAGGCGCCCTTCCTTTTCCACTAA